GGGGCAGGGCCGGAGGCTGGGGTGCCGCCTCCTCTGCAACGCCGGGGCCGGAGTCTTAGAACCCAGGGCCCGTAGGGGTCCCCGCGGCTGCCGCGATGCAGAAATACGAGAAACTCGAGAAGATTGGGGAAGGTAATGGGACTACGAGATGTTCCTGCAAGATCTTCCTCTACAGACCCTTCAGCATTCCTTGCAGCCTGGCTCCTCTACCGTCAGCAATACCCACAGGCTCCGACCTCAACCCCGACTGCAGCCCTGGCCCCGAGCTCCACACTCCTTGCGGACACCTGTCCTTCCCGTTAGCATTTCCCGCAGACGCCCCTTCCCAACCTTAGCACTTCCTGGAGACCCACCTGCCGACCTTAACACTTCCTGCATCTTCCACCCGTAGCCTCAGCACCATTTGCAAAACCTCACCCAGCCCCCAGCCTCAGTTCTCGATGCAGACCTCCAACCTCAACATTTCTGCCGACCCCCACTTTTCTCCCAGACCTGCCCACCATCCCCAGACCCTCCGGAAGCACCGCCTTTATTATAGACCTCCTTACCCTCGCAGCCACAGCCTATCCCTGCTGCAGACACGCGTGAGCCATCTATCTACAGGCACCTTCTCTGCCCCTTCGTCACTTACAAAGCTCTGCAAATGCTGAGCCTTTCACCCTCAATCTCTTCCCTTACTCGTCCAGACATCAGAAATAACGCACACCTGCCTTGCCTGCTCTCCTGACAGGGACTTCCTGGGGTGGGAAGGGTGTCCCATCTTTACCCTCGCCCCCGACCTTCCTATAGGCACCTATGGAACAGTATTCAAGGCCAAAAACCGAGAGACCCATGAGATTGTGGCTCTGAAACGGGTGAGGCTGGATGACGATGATGAGGTAGGACTGGGACATCAGGGCTAGGGAGGGGGTTGAGGGCCCAGGTTGGGTGGGATGTGACTGTTGCCCACCCGGCCCCCTCCCATGTGTAGGGAGTGCCGAGCTCAGCCCTTCGGGAAATCTGCCTACTCAAAGAGCTGAAGCACAAGAACATCGTCAGGTGTGTGGATGGGCAGGGTCCTCCTTGCCTGTGTGGTCAGTTGGAGGAGGGGGGCTTCAGAGATGGGCTGGGCTGATGCTGGGACCAGGGTTGGGCTGATACAGATCCCTTGGGGACCTGAGGCTGAAACTCGTGGACCTGCCCCGCTGAGTCCTCCCTCCTCCCTAGGCTTCATGACGTCCTGCATAGCGACAAGAAGCTGACTTTGGTTTTTGAGTTCTGTGACCAGGTGACAGGGGGACTTGGGGGCCAGTAGCCTTGGGGGAGGGTATAGGGGCCCAGACTGAGGTTAAACTCTGTCACGTTCCTCACCCCCATCCCTTTTTAGGACCTTAAGAAGTATTTCGACAGCTGCAATGGTGACCTAGATCCTGAAATTGTAAAGGTGAGGGGCTAGTGTCCTGGAGACTCACTGAGGCCAAGTGGCACTCTGTCTTCAGCGTATGCACTCTCTGAGCACCAAGTTCAGGGCCTGAGCGGGGACACGCTGGGGTGTCAGAATGAGAAAACCCTGTCTCTACCCTCCAGGAGCTTTCCGTCTGAGCAAGCATCTTGACATGGTCTCTTTGATCTGACAGTAATACTTTGATATCAGTGATACGATTTGCATTTGAGAGACGAGGAAATGAGAGTCAGAGAGATACGTTCGTTCACTCATTCATTCATTCATTCATTCACTCACTCATTCATTCATTCATTCATTCATTCATTCAACAAACACCTATTGGATGCTTTGCTGTATGCCAGGCACTGTGCTAGGCCCGAGTGCCTGGCCCCAGTCCCAGGGGAAGCAGCGCTGAATGATAATACAGCACAGCATATATATTGATGGCTACGAAGTGTGTGCTTACCTAAGGCCAGTTAGGGGAGAGATCAGAGTGGGAGGGGGGGAAGGCCCACCAGGCTGTAAGTTCTAGAAGGGTGGGGAGCAGGGCCCCCACATATATACCTATATATATGGGTATATAATACCTACCACCGTACAAAGCAGGTCCTCCGTAGCAAAGCGATGAGGTTGCTGAAAGATGGGTGGGGTTTTGAGGCTAGCAGAGGGTGAAGAGGGGAACATGACCCACTACTGGGTGCAGCTTCCTTCCAGAAGGTCTGATGCTCTCCCCCCCGCCACCCCTCTCCACCCCACAGTCCTTCCTCTTCCAGCTGCTGAAAGGCCTGGGATTCTGTCACAGCCGCAATGTACTGCACAGGGACCTGAAGCCCCAGAACCTGCTGATAAACAGGGTACCTCCTGGGGAGATGGTGGGAGGTCAGGGAGGCTGTAGTCACTGGCTGGCACAAGTGATGGGGGGAGCTGGGCTGGGAGGCAGAAGAAGGAGGCCTGCCCTGGGACTGTTGAAAACCCCTCTCAAAGTCCCTTTCCATCTCCACTCAGAACGGGGAGCTGAAATTGGCCGATTTTGGCTTGGCTCGAGCCTTTGGGATCCCAGTTCGCTGTTACTCAGCTGAGGTGAGCTGGAGGGGGGGTAGGAGATGGGGGTGAGGGAGGGGGTCCCCTCTGAGCATCTTTCCGTCTCCTACTCCAGGTCCCACACAATTGTTTCCCCTCCTCACCGAGCCCCTCCTCCCCAGTCCTCTAAGCAGGGGGGTCGCTGTGGGTGGGGTCTTCTCCAGGTGGTCACGCTGTGGTACCGCCCACCGGATGTCCTCTTTGGGGCCAAGCTGTACTCCACATCCATCGACATGTGGTCGGCCGGCTGCATCTTTGCAGGTGACATGCCTGGGGGTCTGCGGAGCCACTGTCTCTCCCATCTGAGTGGACAGATCGGGTCTGGAGTGGCCCCTCTGGGGAAGGGAGTGAGGCTCTTGGGGCTGGGGATAGGACACACAGAGGGTGCCATGGGAATGAGGGGTTCTTCATACCCCACTGCACCCCCTAGAGCTGGCCAATGCGGGGCGGCCTCTTTTCCCGGGCAATGACGTAGACGACCAGTTGAAGAGAATCTTCCGATATCCTTCGACATTTCCCTTTGCCTCGAGCTCTCTGAAGGGGAGTCAGAGGGGGCACCTGGCAGGCTCGGTCGGTAGAACGTGCGACTCTTGACCACGAGGGTCACGAGTTTGAGCCCCACGTTGG